CAAGCTTGGTTTTAAGCTCTATTTTGTGAGTTTTAGAATTAGTCTTCAAAATGGTTTTTTCTTGAAGGTATGATGGATCCTAATTGAGTTGAGAGGTGTTTTATCAGCCATGGCAGTAAGGTAACACAATTATAGCTTTCTCATACCAAGTGTAGATCATGGAAAGTTAAGATGTGCTAGAAAGTTAAGTTTAAAGCATGTTTAGTAATTTTCATGGTATATTGTTCATTTGATGTTATAAGCATGCTAATAAGCCTCTATTATGACCCCTGTTGATCAAATAAAACTTTAAGCATGTTTGGAGACCTCACTAAGGTCTTTGGGTTTGAGAAATAGAATTTTTTGGTACTTGTTTTATGACTTCTGCAGGTTTAGTATCGATACTATATGGATAGTATCGATACTTATTCTTCGTTTTAGGCAAATTCGTGAGTTTCTGGGCAATAGTATCGATACTCTTCCAAGAGTATCGAAACTTTGGGTCAGAGTTTTGAAACTCCAAGAAAGTTTTGAAATGGGCAGAACATAATGTTTAAAAATATCGGTACTTATATAAAGTATCGAAACTTTAGCAGGAGTATCAATACTCTTGGGACAGTATCGATACTTTCAGTCTGTTTTTGGTAAAAAAGCCAGTTTTTTAGAGAATTAGACTCGAGTTTGAGGCTTCAATCGAGTTAAGTTTAAGATTTTTTTTTTCATTTCGAGCCTTTTCGAGCTTCTCACGAGCTTCAGTTCAGGATTTCGAGTTCAATTCGAGCTTGAAAATTTTAAACTCACGAGTTTTTGAGTCGAGTCGAGCTCAGCAATACTCGAACTCGACTCGGCTCGGCTCGTTTTCACCCCTAGTACATGGCTAAGGCATACCTAAGACCCAATTAGATTTACATAGAAATTTACAAATTGTCCACCAAGAGTGACGGTTATAAGATTCGAACTTGGCCTTACAAGCTCAAATTCCTGAATTCTAACCACTTGTGCCAACACTCATTGGTATATAACATCTATATTAATTTGTATATTATACTAATAACGCAAATCAAATTAAACTTAGCTGACATTTTTTTTATTATTATTTATCTTAACATAAAAATAGAAACCACGTTTAGATTAAAATCAATTATATATATATATAATTGATTTTATCTATGTATTTTCTATTAAAAATTTGTTTTTGTCTCCCCTAAGATTTTATAAGTTCAAATTCGCCCCTTAAAAATTTATAAGTTCAAGTTCGCCCCTACTAATATAAAATCATGCGTTCATCCCTGTGTGTGTATATATATATATATTGAAATTGGAATAAATATGTAAGAATAGGGTTGAGTAAAACTCGACTAGACTCAAAAATTCAATTTTTTTTTCAATTTTGGGTTATTCGAGTCAAATCAAATTATCAATTCGGTTTTCGAGTCGAGTTGAAATTTTGAAATTTCAAGTTAGTCGAAAACCTAAAATTTAGCAAAGTATTTTGAGAGTTTTACGATTTAGTCTCCGATTTCATTATTCCTTCAATTCTTCCTTCATTTTAAGTTCATTTTATTACCAAATTTTAACCACATACTCCTAAACCATCGTAGAATACATATGTACTTTTAATTTCTCTTTTTGATAACAATTTTTCTATTTTTCAATTTAGTTCCTCAATTTTTCATAATTTCCTTATTTCTTCAATTCATCCTTTATTTTAAGTCCATTTTTTAATCAAATTTGAATTACATGCTCATATACCACAATAGAATATCTATGTAACTTCAGTTATTACTTTTGTTTACTAAAAATGTACTCTCTCTTTATTTAGTCTTTTAACTTTGCATTTTACTCAATTTGGTCTTTTGACTATAATTGTTTGCAAATTCTTTATTCCCATCAATTCTTTGACTCCTTTATATTCTCATCAATATTTTATTCAAAAAATATTTTTTTTAAAAATATAATACTATGAATATATTTTATAATTTTATATTGTATTTGATATATTAAATAACATTATAGTATGAAAAGAATAATATATATATAATTAGAGAAAGTTGAAAAATTAGAGCAAACCCTTGTCATAATACTATAAATAATTATAATAAAATTATTATAGAAACTCAAATAACTCGATTCAAAAAAAATTCAAGTTAAGTTCGAGTTGTAAAATAAAACTCGTCAACTCAAATAACTCAAACTTTTTTTACTCGACTCGATTCGACCGAATTCAAACTCTAAGCACTTCAACAAAATAATCTTATCACTAAAACAAGTGAATGTTGGCATCAAGGACTGATTATATATATATATATATATATATGTGTATGGATGCAAGATAGAGATACATAGTAAGGTGGATTGTGATAAGAAAATAGAAAGATGTTCAAAGATATTAAATTTATCAAATTTCTACAAAATTTTAGTTGCTTCATATTTATAAAATAATAAATTATTGGAATATGTATAATGTTATTTTTATTAAACAATGATAATTTTATTAAATTAAAATACAAATTTAAATTTATCAATTTAAATTTTTTAAATATATATATTGGTTTTTTCTTTTTTGAATTAATCATTAGTATCCGATCTATTGACCGACTAATCCCTTTATATTTTGACAGTGGTATTAATTTTATCCCTTTATATTTTGAATTTTAAATTTACATAATAATAAAATTTTATCCCGGTCCTCTAAAATGATTAAATTTTAATATCTTTTAATAATTGTAAAATTAGAAATTAAATCAATAATAAGTTTATGTTTTTCAACTTCAAAAAAAAGTATAATTTATTTCTAATGTCTTTTTTTATAACTATTTGTATTAGATCTATTTATCTACTAATCTGGATCGGTATTATAGAGAAGAGAACAACCCTCCCAACCCATTTTGTTCAATTCACAAATGTCAAGATTCAAGCACATGACCTTACTTAAACTGCCTCATATGACTAAACCAACTAGTTGCATTTAATATTTATCCAATATGAATAACCTTATTTTGGGATATTGAGTGATTACAATGCATTATATATTTAAAATCTTTTTTGACCATTGATCACCCACACATCTTACTGACGAAGTTTCTCAAACTCAAACTTTTACTGAAACAACATTTACTTTTATTATTGAAATCACTTGATAGGTTCGAATAACTTAAAACTTCGTCCATACACCCAAAATTAAGAACTAAACAAACATCCAAGGTAGGGTATATAATGAAAAATCAAAAGGACTTCCTTTTTTAAAAGAAAACACCAAACCATCACTTTTTTAAAGGCTTTATTCGCTTGCCACTAATTGATGCAAAAAAAAAAAACTTTATTCCCACCCGCCACTCACCCAATTGAAGATATTTAGGGTCTAAGGTTTAAACAATGATGGGTCAATCTCGACGTCGCTAATAATTTTGTCATCGAATCTGGCTTCAAAGATAATATGAAAAGGTTCCCTTGGTACAGATTTTGGATACACGTTTTAGGAATTCCTTATGCCTTTGCTTTTATCTCACCACTTGGAACTACGTGTCCTCTTCCTTCATCATCTTCTTGTTTGGTTCGAATTCATTCAGTCCACCAATTCGGCTCCATACTATTAGATATTATAGTGACGGTGACAAAAAGATGGGAATTAGATTCCGTCTCATCTTAAAAACGTGGTCATCTTGTACTATAAAACTGCAATCTCATAACTTCTAAGTATTCATAATTCAGACACCTTGCAAGCATGAGTGAGTACTGCACAACGTATAGCCCTCTACACCATGAAAACCGCCCTAGGGTCAGATGGGGGGACACCTCGTATGGCCGTCAAGTTTGTGTTACGACGGCAGAGCCGATGCCGTACCCGTCTAACCACCAACCGAGGCATCCAGTTGCCAATTTCGGGTTCCACAAGAGCTCCGACCAGAAGCACGTTCATGATGTTCCAAGAGCTCAGATGATGGGATTCGAGCATTACGGCCATCCCGACTTGTGAAGACTACCGAGAGTTTTCAAACCGAGGAAGACGTCGACCAAGAAGCTGAGGACTTTATCGCGATAGAGCACAAGAAGTTTGCGCGTTCGAGGACGGGGATGCCGACAAGGAGTGGCTGAGAAAGGAAGAGTGTAAGCATAGGATGAATAAGCTCCACAGATTATTATAAGAGCTAGCATAGAAAATTTATGACTACACGCATGCTTGGTGGTGAATTATTGTCAATAGGTCAAGCACTTATGCTTTACATGTTTTATTTCTTTTGATGTCACTCTCTTTCAAAATCTTATAATAAACAGTGAGAAACAAAACCATTGGAACAGAATGTGAGGCTTTGAACACCAAGACAGAGCATGTGATTCAGCTAAATCCACCCTGTATTCCCTTGATTTCAACCTCAAAGAACTTTGCCATTCACCTTTATCAAAACAGAAAGCAAAATAATTGAAGGAACCAGAGTTTTCTTCTTTTATTTCTTTCCCCAAATCTTTCAGACAAATTTTATGAGGCCAAATTTCTTGTATGATCTGCTGGTAGAATATCAAATTTTATGAAGAAACTTATGGATTTTTGAGATGCAGAAACCAACCAAGTGTCCTCATCCAATCCAGATTTTGGATCCATTTATGTAGTAAAATCAACATGCATGGGCGATTTTTCATGTAGCTTACAAAAGGGAAACTTGTGATTCTTTTGAACAACAATAAGATATGACAACACTGAATCTTACATCTCAGTTGCCTGCATGTTGTAGATCCTTCTTCGTGGTTCCAAAAACTGTTCACTTTTAGTTCAAACTTTTGTCTCAATTAACAGCAAAACACCCTGATAGACATCACAGACAACTCTTAACAATGCCCATTGTTAAGCCCATGAGAATATTACACCATACAAAAGACTACTTCTATTGAAGAAATATGGTCCCATCTGATATCAAACAATATAAACATAAAGGATCAAAATTTTGTTCAATCCCTCCATTAATTTTTTTATGATACACTGTCTGTGAAACTTGTACACACTGTAAACACACAGAAGATAGAGCAAAAGAAAAAAAGGACAATCTTGTATGCTCAAAAATGAACCAAGAAGGGAGTAAAAGAGAAAAGAAAAAAGTAGGTCTGATCTGAATAAGCCGAATCTCTCTACTTAACAGCTCGGCAAAGAGGGCAGGTGCTATGCATGTTGTTGAACCATTTATCCAAGCAACCTTTGTGGAAGAAATGCTTGCAAGACAACTCACTCACCTCCTCGTCAGCTTGGAACCCGCATAAACACACGCAACATCCGCCGTCAGCGGCGGCGGAGTAGTATTGCCCGTGGTGGTACAAGGATTTGAATCGAGTTATGGATACCCTTCTCTCCCTCGCATTGCTGGACTCGTCCGGTAACTCATCCGAGTGGTTGATATCAAAATTGGAAGTAGTGTTCCAGGTTGCAGCCATCACTTGCAGCAAAGATCTCACCATGTTCTTCAACAAAGCCACTGATAGAACCGTGTTCAGCACCAGCACTTGGAGTATACCTTGGGATGCACTAGGAAAGTTGGACAACCCCATCGTTCTTTTCCCAGGACAAAAACACAAACACTAGAACAAGAACCCAGTTCTTATTTCAGGGGCCACAAAAATGCATTAACAAACCAGCTCCTGTTGTTTCACCAACAATATTACAGGGAACAAGTTGGGGTGATAAAATATACATGGGGGGCTAACCATGGTTTGTGAGAGTTAACCAGGGGTGGTTTCATTGGGTACACGTGGTGACACGTGTAGGAATTGTGAGAGATTAGTAATGTATTGAGTTTTAAGTGATTGTAAAAAAACAAGAGCTGGGAGGGAACCTGGAGGATAAATAATGAGAGGCCACGTGTCTGGTGAAGTATGATGTGGCCAATGAGGTGGGGGGTAGCTTCCAGTTAGGGTTCAGTACGAAGTCTCTTGAATTCCGGATGCCGCGTATATTTACGTCAGTCAACTCTACTCATTATTCCCCCTTTTTTATTTATTAAAATATACCTTAATATTTTTTTAAATTAATTCGATACATATATCTAAAAGATTTTTATTTATTTAATAACAAATATTCACTTGTTTAACCTTATTTGTTTTTATATGATGAAATTAACAAAGGTAAATTCAAATGCCTTACATGCAAAATTTTAGTTGTGCTTATAGTTATAAGTAGCAAATAAACCATGTTTTTAAAATATATCACTCTAATCTAATCCTACTTAAATTATTTACGAATATAATATTTAGACATGACAAATCGGATATATATATATGCATAATTATAATTGGTCAATCATGACATTTTATAATGTCGATTTTCGAAATATACATTTTTTATTATATTTAATTTTTGATTAAGATATATAATCAATTTTTGATTTTTTTATTTTTAATTTTTAACTTGAAACAATCAATTTAAAGAACATAAATGAAATCTAGAACTTAACTATAATATAAGAAAACTTAATAAATTTAATGATTATTGTTTGGGTCAATATTATCTCTGTGTTGTTTAGGTCACAACTAAAATTTTAAAATATAATAATTAAAATCGACGAAATTTTTTATTTACCATTTATGTCATTTTCTATAGATCGAATCAATTTTTTTTATTTTATTTAGTATGAGGCGACACCGATTTTGATGTTGGTTGTTGATCGTTTGTTGTATTTTCTTTTTTTTAGTTTATCTTTTAATTTTTTAATAAGAATAATTACGTCATTGTGACACGTTTATCTCTGTCTTTGTGGCACGTTTATCTCTGTCTTTTGATAGTTTTTGGTCGTTTGGTCGTTATTTTCGTTTATCTTTTTTCTCAATATTAGATTTGACATCGCCACGACTGATCAAGATGGCTCTTATTTGTTATCATGTTGATCTTCCATGCTTTTGATCCTCATATTGATTTGGATACACATTTTGTGTTCGTGAATAATTTTCTCATGCCGCTTGACTCTGATTTATGATTTGTCGGTGGTCTTTCAATAGTTTCATCTCCTTTTGTGGTTCGTTTGTCGATGCAGTCATATTTGTTCGTATCTTTATTTTGTTCAAGCATTTTGATTTGAGTTTTAACATTTTCCTTATTTGGTAATTGTGTGATCTAGGTGGCTAGTTTTTGTATTAATAGTTATAGGTGTAGTAATTATAATTTAATTTACATTTATGCTTGTAAATCTTCATTGTAATTTTGGATAGTTTCTATTTTTAATAAAACTAGCGTATTTCTATCAAAAAAGAAAATCGACGAAAGTAAAATGTAATGACTAAATTCAAAACTTATACATAGTACGAGACTAATGACATAATTCCACCATAAAATAAAACTTAATAATTTTCCATTAGTATTAAAAAGGAATAAACATCCCATTCTTAAACTATAAATTTCTCCTAACTTGTCTTTGAGATATCTTTCCATATTAATATCAAAATTTAATATTTTTTAATTTAATAATTGAACTTAAATTATTAATCTTTTAATTACACATTATTTTAAATTACTTTACACTACCATATTTTTCCTACATATAAATAAGGAGTGAATAATTATTTAGAAGTTACTTTGAGATGGATGGATATTTTTTGTCGAAATCAATGATAGTATGGTGAGTCGGATCAATCAAATAATTTCTTCAAAAATATACATGTATTTTAAAAAATTTAAGGTGATAATGTGATAACTTTAATATATCATTACATTAAAAGGATAGAAAATGTAAACTCAGAAAACCAGTTTGGAAAAATATCTGTCATCAAATTTAAACTAAAAATTAGATTTCCCCAGCAGAAACATGTGGGTAAGTAGTATATTTGAAAGGATGATAGATAGGAGCAGGGGAAAAGGTCCCAAGAATTCAGTGGGCATCTCTATCATCATCAATCAACGAGCAATCCAAGGGGAAAAAAATGGTAACTTTGTTTTTAGAAAAGTTGGTGCTACGAAACAAAGCTAGCAATGGTCCCTTTCAAAAGGAAACTCGCCCCATCGCCACACAATCTTCGGATCTTAAACCTACCCCCGCCTGCTTCTTGTCCATTTCTTCTTGGACTGCATTTCCCAAGAATGGCAGTAAAACAGGACACCAACAAAAATACTCTGACAAGTACTTTTCGCTACTGAAATTTAATATGACAAATGTTAATGGATAAGTTTCAAATTTACATTAGTACATAATATGATTAAGATGTTATCTATCTTTTCTTAAATTGTTTTTAAATAGTCTTCTCTTAACTTGAAATGTTCATTAACAAGAAGAAACATTATTATTGTGCAAATTTTAGCATATGATTACGCCACCGATACATCGACAAAAGACTAGGTATCATGGCCTTAATGATGATACTGGAATCTATCTCACTGGTGATTTTTTTTTATTTATAAAAAAACATAGTGAATTAAGTTACAGCCATAGTTCCAACTGCATCAATAGCTACTTTTCAGTGTACCAAGTCATTTCCTTTCAATTTGGATATTGGTACTCAAAATAGTAAAAAGGTATTATCACCTTCGGTAAATTTATCGCATATACGTCCCAGAATAACACATTGAATTTTATTATTTTCCAAATGAACTTTTCTATATAGTAATAGATATCCGATTTATTGATCGACTAATTCAGATTGAATATGATAAATATTCATTATATGGACAATTCTTCCAACCTAGTTCGAATATGGGACCTTAGTTAAAAGATCAAATGCTTAGATGATATTGTGTAAGTGATAATATTAATGATAGTAAATACCCAATCGGAATTTTCATATCTTATTATCTTTCCCAATGTCGGCAAAGTTCGGTTAAGAAGGGCATTATTTGTCCCTTTAGGACCAAAAAGTAAAGATTATTTAGTGAACAATGGGATACAAAAACAATGCGTCATCTACAGTTTCTATGCGAATAAGAAAGAAAATAAGCAGTGTAGGGACTAGCTAATAATGAATAATAGGAGTGTACCTAATGAGAAGTATTGTTTAGAGACTTGAAGTAAGCCTTTTCCGCCCTTGAAAACCGAGTTTGGAATAGACTCCATTCTTTTTTACACCTCTCCCTTACCTGCAAATTTCACAATTAACAAATTAACTCCAAAATAAGGGAAAAACTGGATGACACCAAATAATGCAATGCATACATACCCCTTTCCATGGTGCCTTCCCGTTTTGGGACTCCCCCTACCAAAAAAAAATCATTTTAACTCAAAATTGTAACTTAATGAGGGTAAGGAAAAGGAGGGAAAATTGGAAGATTAGACAAGTTTGCATTACCTGGCTCCCAAGAGAGGGAACGGATTGATGAACAATCCACTGAGCATCTACGACGCCAATCTTCTCGTGGGCGGGCTGTTTTCAAGATATACAACCCTACTTAGTGAACGGTAATCCAATCGATGATCAAAGGAGTCATTTTTAAAGAGTTAGGAATATGGAACTATGACGACCGAGGTCGATCGATAAGGTACTCGTTTTTTATGTGTCAACTCATGTGGCATTGTGCTTACAAGTCGATATTCTTCCCTACAGGCTATAGCAGTAACAGGATAGACCGGTCGTAATAAGAGTGCATGGTTGATCGACCGGTCATAACAGGAACACGCACAAACATGGACAGATTCAAGGATGGAAGAAGATAAACAGCAGAGACGGGAGCAATAGAATGCTAACCTCTACACATTTTCTGAGGGCAAAATCAAGACCCCACCCATGGACCAAGTCATTCTACAAATTGTCCAAGAAAAACATCAGAGTAAGTAATGCCAAGAAAACAATGGGAGAAGCAGCAATGTTAAAATGAACAAAACCTGAATCATATGACACATCGCCATGCATCACGTGAGAATACGGGTGCCATTATCTCAACAAACCTACATTTACGAAAGAAAAAGGAAGTTAATATTTACCAAGCTTATGGAGAACTAAAAGCATGATATATGAACAATAATGCTCAAAGCTATACACATACGCTGCACAGGGAGGAACATGTGGATGATTGCACCAGCCTGGTTTCTCCTCTGTTTCTCTGGACCAAAATTCAATGATAGAAAAAGTTAAAATCTAACATTCAATGAATTAAACTGACTTTGACGATTCCTGGTATAATTGCCTACTGCTTCTTACTTGTGAACTTCACGATCTCCTCTCCTCTTTGTCATTTTCCAGGTTAACCCTTTCCTTGGTTCCAAACCAGGTTGCGAAATCTCCAGTCCATGCTTCCTCACCAGTTTAATGTATCTGATTTTTTTTTTTTTAAAAGTACAAAATTGTTTTAAGGTCTTCCTTTTAAAGGAAATGGGTTGAAGTTGAACAAACAATTTGTTCAGAAGTCCAGGAATGTTCAATGCTCACTTTTCTGCATTGAAGTGCTCAACCCCCAAGTCCTCATCCCAGATGAATATGTAGTCATATGGTGCCACGATGTCAGGGTGCAAGAACCTCTTGGCGTACCACCTAGGTAAATAAATTTTTTGTTAATTAGATCTTTAAAATCATTAAGGAACACAATAACTAGTCATTCCATCCAATTCTGGCAGAAAAAGGACTTGAATTTGAAAATCTAGATTAACCACTTACCATTTAGTCTGCCTCCGAACACTCACGTGTATTGCCTCCTTTGACCACTCAAACTCATCCCATTCAGCAGTTCGACCATCGTAATGAAAGAGAAGGATGGTAAAATTCCCTGAAAACTGTTGGAAGCACATTTTTAATCACAACATGCAATGTACAGAATCACATGAGCAGCATAAAACTCCATCCCACCTCAGTATCCTGCCTATCTTCCAGAAATGCCTCCAAGAAGATGTGTATAAGGATGCACCCTTCACACACGTGTTCAGACACAAACTCATGCAAACTTCTCGCACACAGATGCACTGGTGAACAGAGAGAGAGTGTGTGGTACCTTTTTAACTGCAGCATCAATATTCTTTCGTAGATTATAACCAACAGTAAATGTGACAAGATACTTTGGTGTGCTGGTCAAGTCCTGTAGGTAAGAGAAAACTCACAATATGTTTTATACTTATCCATACAGTTCTTTGTTAAATCTATGGACTGATGAATACAATAATGCTTTTTATCATATGAATGGCGATTAACAAGGCAAAAACCACCTCTCAGACTCTAAAATCTGCCTTTCTTAGATCCTGAAATGTACTTAGGCATTTGAGAAGGTTTTATACAGAAGGAATAAAAGATGTGGATAATACTTAATCTCATAGCACAAAACCGTTGCTTCCTTGACAGTAATTTACTAATCCGTCCAACACCCTGACACTTCCCTCTATATGCATCAAACATTCAACAATTCCACATATAGTCTCTTGTTGCTGTTGTACTTCAGCATATGCCCAGGAATAAGAACGATAAAACTTGTAACAAGAGATGCTTCCAACAATTTCGAATCTGATATTTCATTTATAAAGCTTATTCAATCAAAATCGAAGCAATTTATCTATATACACCAGACTCCAGAGATAAAAGTATTCATGTGTACACTAGAAAGATGAAAGGAATTCAGGGTTCAATATATAACCAACAAAGGGTTCCAAGTAAACACACCTCATTCGGCTTGCCCCACAATCTGCGTAAGTATAAGTCTGACTCAGCTCTAACAATTCCTGGTGGTAATTTTTCTGCACCTCGAGGATTTGATGGGACCCAAATCTGTACAGAATCATTAAACATATAAATTTAGGAAGCAAAAAAACATGGTATATTAGAAATTTAGAATAGCACCATATCATTAATCAGGTCCTACAAAATCATTTAACATATAAATCACATCAATTAGAAACATGAAGATAGTAAAAGATTAATTTAACAATGCATCCAGATATGCGAGCAATTGTATATTAGTATGCATATATAGACCATAAATGCACATGGCCATTCATGTATAGAAACATGTTGCGCTAAGAACGAACAATAGGTGCCATTTTTTTTCCTTTCAAAATAGTGTTTATTCAGTTTTTCAATGCATTTATACTAGAGGTAAACCAAGGGAACCATATATGTATTACTCCTATCAGGTTCAATTTTGTATAAAATGAAACAGAAAAAGCCCCTACATTCAGGAGCTTGAATGGCATAAGAACCACACTACCCTTGTTTCCCAAGGAAAAACTCCCTCTCACTTGTCAAGATTTCAAAAAATACCTACAGTCTATAATACTAGAGAAGCAACTAAACATGAATAAGTAAACTGGTGTAGAATACTAAAAGTGCATAGAGAAAACTATACAATGAATTCTAATGTCACCTCACAAACCAAAACTTCGATAAACAAATATACAAGAGAAGACCGGTCAGGTATAACTTTACAGGACAATAGTCGCCCACAAACACACCTGAAGGTTGAAACCTACTGTGAAAAACCATCCAGAACCTTGTTCCAAAAATTTGATTTTACTAAAATTATGCTTTTATTCAAATTAAGCATTAAGAGATTTGGTTCAATGAACATCAATCTCCGGATCCAGTAGAAATACCTTCTTTGATGTGGCATTAACAGAACTTCTATTATTTACAAGTGAATGCTGCAAAGGAGCTGGGCTTGAGGGGCTAGACTTTGTATACTCAGTGTCTTTGACATCGATGGTTGTAAGAACGCCGGATGATAGACTGAACTGCCAAACACAAAAGTTCCAATTACACAGATCAGAAAGATCATTATTGCTAGATGCGTAATAACGAATATAAAATTAAAAGAGTGAAATAGATGACTACCTTTGTTAATGACAAAGTTGGGAAAGATAATCCTACTAAGAAGCCAAAAAATACTCCAACAAATGTTGTCACAAAAGGTCTCATGCTCTCATTTTGCTTTCTACTACCCGTACTGCAGTCACCGAGATGGAATAAAAGTTAAATTACTTCCGCATCAAAGTAACCTCCTTTTCTACACATAAACACAATTAGACATAATAAGAAGGGCACCAGAAGATGTGAACCTGCGTGTAAAGATCCCCATTCTACTTAAATTCATCTGATTGTATATTCACAACAAACCATGGGCAATTCAGATTGCAAGAGCCTTAAAAATTATTTAGCAGCCATTCAGTTGCAGATTCTCCATAAAACAAAGAGAGAACCTCAGCACGAAGACCTGAAGACCAATTTTATTATTAAATAATGAAGAAAAACAAATAGTTACTGATAATATCAACAAAATGGACAATAACAAGAACTGATATTCAGGCAGCAACTTCATGGGCATGGCACCTAACTCTAAACCGATACCCTAGTTCAATTAAAATTACAAAAAAGCAAACAGCAAAAGGCAAGCTAATGAGACCCTTCGATACTTGCTCCAAGGATTTCATAATTATATAGTAAAAGATAAGCAATAATCCCCATAAGAAACTACTGAGTACAACCTAAGAACTCCTACATAACCCTCAACTAGTAACTTCACAAAGCAAGACCATGTGCTACCCGTTTGACAAAAGATCACGGTCACCGGACAAACACAAAGCCAGAGATATTCCTATCATAAGTTCAACAACTCCATAATCAAGTAAACATGAGATTTACTTTTCTACTAATGTCCCATAATTGTAAGATGAAAAAGCTGCAATACCGAGAATTTTTATTTTTATTTTTATTTTAACAGCATGCACCGTGCTCGCTTAGGTTGAAAGATGCAGACCAAAAAGACCAAAAACATAAACCTGGCCGCAAAAGTGGCTTAAAAATCGGTTTTATACCTTTAAAAAATCTTAAATTCAACCACCTTTTCAATTACCTTTTCTTTTTGACTAATAAAATTTGATGACCAGAGAAAAAGAAAAGCAAGAAAGCAAGTACGAACCATAGACTGAAAAATTAAACTATTCGAAGATTGGAAAACTAACTTAAAAAGGGTTTAAATAACATAATGTTTATATAGGCTGCGGGTTAGACCAGGAGTTTTTTCGAGAAACAAACGGAGAACTAAGCTAAATAAAAGATTTAAAAGGAAGAAGAAGCTACAAATATTTACTTACCTGAAAGAGAAAATGATTGAGAACAACTGAAAACGATCTGAACGGAAACAGGAAGTGTATTTAAGAGCTCCACAATCACGAGAAAAATCACCTTCGCCTCTTTAACTGAAAATATGAAAAGAAACAAGTTTATGATTCTCTCTCGAGTCTTGAGAGAAAATGAAAGAAAATAATTGAAAACGTGAAGGGAAAAGGACCTGAATCTGATCATCACGAATTTCAGTTTCCCGGGAAAAAAAAGCATACGGGAAATTCTATCCTCGTTTCACTGTTTTTGGCGGAACAATAAAGCGTATGGTTTCATAAAATCTGAGGCAGAAAATACTTTAGAGAAAAAATATTTATAAAAGTCTAAATATTAAAAAGTTGGAGTTAATATCTAAATACAAAGGTTAATAACTTTGGATATAATTTCATTGGTTGAATCGACTGTGTTTGATTTTGACATTTAAATTTTGAAACCATATAGCAGACATTTAAATTCTTTGAACCCCTGGCTAAAGATTCCTGTTAATTATTTTCTCAGGCTAAACAATTCTAATGACTAATTATTTCTCTCTTTAATTTTTATCATTAATTTTTTATTTTTATTCATCTGACCATCTAAAATATTTAAATATTATCAACCAAATCACTTGTCGTTAATATTTGATTGAAGTACTGACATGTCGATTAAAAAAATTTGTATATTTTTACATTTGATCCTCTTTGTTCAATCCTTCAATCAATTTCATCATAATTTTAATTTATTTAAATAAATTTAATTATCTATTCATATTTTAACACATATCTTCACATTTAATTTTCATTAAGAAATCAAAAAATAATACGTGTCACGTTTTAATTACGTGAAAAAGCGTATAGTAGAAGTAAAGATGGACAGTGGAATCGAATACGTGGCACGTAATTTAATTAAGGCGGGGGTTAAGCCACCGGCACAAACCCAAATTTTGGTAACGAGATACACCGTTAACATTATAGCTTATTTTGGTTAGTGGCAGTAAAAAAGAAGCAAAAATAATAAAACAAGGATTTCAACGAAAGATTAAAGAGAGATTTTAGCGTATAAACCAATTCTCATTTTTTTTAAATAAATTATTACATTCTTTTATATGTATCTTTCATTTTACTTAATTTAAGAAAAAAATAAATAATTTTTTAAATAATTAAAATATTAATCTTTAGATAATAACAAAATATTTTTATTTAAAAGATATGTACGTAACAAATTTTCTAGTAAAATAAAACTTGCACCATTATTTTTCTTCAAAATATTTTGTGCATTAGTGCCATTAGTTGGTATGTATTTTGAAATAACTCATTAAAACTTTTAAAATATTTCATAAACTTTTTAGATAAAATTCCATAAAATATTTTGAAAAAAAATAAATAGTACAAGTTTTTTTAAAATTGTTATGTATATCATTTTTTAATAAAAAGGTTTTTTTTCTTTTTTCCCATTATCTAAAACTTGAATTTTTTTAATTATTTAAACAGTTCATTTCTTTTTTTTTCTACCATTAAGTGAAATAAAAGATATATGGCATGTTAAAATCTCTCTTAAATCTTCTTAAGTTTGAATCCTAGTTTCGTTATTATTTCTTTACTGCCACTAAACAAAATAATATATAATCTGAAAGCTGTATCTAGTAGCCAAAAATTGGGTTTGACTCAGTGGTTGAGTCGTGTGTCTCTTACTAAAAGCTTATCTGTTCGATCCACCATGACTTATTTCCTTTGTTTCTTTCTTTTCATGCAATTAGAAGGTGACCACCCTTTGATTAGAGGAAAAAATAAATTAATTAAAATTGAAAATCTAATTAGGTGGTCCAATCTAATTGGATAATGAAATTTATTTATTTAAATTAAAATTAAGATCAAATTGATTAAATATGTGAATAATGAGAATCAAATATATAAATATATAAATTTATTTAACTGTTATATCAATATTTCTGTCAAATAATAACATTAAATGGTTAAATATTAACAAAAAATGATTTGATTAATAATATTTAAATAATTAAATGGTAAAAAATCAATGATAAATATAAAAGAGGTAAATAATTAAGTGATTATTGGAATAGTTTACCATTTTTTAACCCTCTCAAATACTCAGACTGTTAAATATACTTTTACTAATGGGTGAGAAAAAGTTTAAATCATATAATTATTATCTTAAATTAAGCATACATCTCTTTCTGATAAAAGATTTAAATGATTATATATAATTTATGCTTTATATAAAAAGATAATATTATAATTTTAAAGAGTTATTTTTTTGTGTGGATAAATTAGAATTTTATTATCCAAGAACAAAGTACATTTACAACCAATCACCAATCAAAGCAAGGAGTATTACAAACAAACAAAAGAACATGGTTAAACTATACTCCAAGCATTACAAAGATGAAAGTTAGTGCAATCAAGTCTATTTATAGTTTTTCCTCTAAGTCTTATACTAACTATTTCGATGATTTCCTTGAGCAAGTTGTCAACTGTTCGAGATCTTCCTTGAAAAAGTATGCGATTACGTTCTTGCCACAAAAAGTAGATATAAACATTCCAAGAAATTTTCAGAATAATGGTGATTAAAGACTTCCCTTTCCACTTAGAGCTTGCGTGAGAGACCATTTCTTCCCAAATCATTGCAGTGAAGTTCATACCATTCAAAAGAATAACAGATTTCCAGAGTTCAATAGCCAAGGGGCATTGAGAGAACAAGTGATCCCTGTTTTTGTTGAAAGCCCTGCAGTTGACGCACAGACCAGCAGTAACAAATCCCATGTGTTGTAAGCGATCACAAGTTGGTAACATGTTTAAGATGGCCATCCAAGTAATCAAACTATGCTTTGGGAGGTGCATAGGGTACCATACTAAACGGTTCCAGTACACTTTTTGGCCTTGCAATATGATTTTCCCCCAAATTTCCTTTGCCTGCTGAATACCAGAAGAATATAAAGGGAATGCAGAATTTCTCATTTTGAGAATTCTTTTGACATTCCAGCTGATATTAGACCCAATGTCAAACTGCCAGAAGTTGTGGTCCTTGAAAGAGTATTATCTTGTACACTTATATTTCATATTATTAGATGAGTGCTTAACATAAAATTAAGTGTCTAAATTATATATAAAGTTAATTTTAGGTGTTTAAAGAACTTAATAAAAAAGGTGTTTAAAGAATTTGTCGTTAAAAATAGGTGTCTAACGTTTTTAATGTTACATTTTTAGGTGTCTGAATTATAATGTCGTTAAATTTGATCGTTAAATGACACATGTCAAGTTTATAAATTTTTTAATTTTTATTTAAATTAAAAAACTTAAAATTATAATTTATTTAAAAAACTAATTTTTATATAATTATAAAAAAATCAAAATCTCTTAAAATCTTAATTTAATCGATTATCATCCTTGATTGCCTCCAACATTGTCAATTGGCCAAACACCCAAAGTTATTCAACTTGACAACCACCCAGCAATTGAGACCCTTATTTTTTCGATTGGTTGAACACTCCACGATAATATAAATGCAATATTTCACAATTAGAAGAAAAGGATTATTCATGTTGTAATCGTTAGATTTTTGCTGCAATCACCGCATGAAGTACGAGAATTTTAACGGTGGAAGTTGAGATTAGGGAACTTATCGAGCGGGTCGATCGTGAGTTGAGCAATAATCGACTAGTTAGAAAATTTTGTTGTCTGACTCGTTAATCGTTAAGTTTGTTAAAATTTTGCTCGACTCATGCTCATTAAAAAAATTTGTTGCTTGACTCGTTGCTTGTGAAACTCATTGAATTTTTACTTTATTTTCTAACTATAAGTAAAATCTATTAATATTACATAAAACTTCATATAAACATAAATTAATAAATTAAATCAAAATTTATCAAAAAAATATATGAAATAAAATGAAAGTCTAACACCAAAATAACAATCTATAAATAAATTAAAATGATAATTAGTGTTTTTTCTGGTATAGTAAAAAATTATTAATTATTAATTTAGTATTTTAATTATTTATTAGAAATTAATAGATTAATAATTTTTCATTTTTCATTATCTATTAGTAAATTGGAAAATTTTTAAGTGAAATAATTTTTTTTAAATAACTACTGAAATGTTATAAAAAATTTAACAAATTGTTTGTGAACTTATCGAGTCGAGTTAAATTTTGCTCGACTCAACTCAACTCAATTTATTAAAGTCTTGAGTCAGACTAGAGTTCAACTCAAGTTAATCTAAATCGAGATTTCATCAAATTTTAATAAAATCAAATTCGAATTGCTCAGAAATTGCTCTATCTAAATGAGATAGTAATACGCGGTTTTGGGGCTGTGTGAATACCGAATTGCAATATAATTCAACAAAGAATTTGGTCTTGTCTAACCAATCTACTTTTCTGACGTTCAATTCAGCCTTTTCCAAACTAACACAATAAGATAACTATGACCAAATTCTTACTACCCATTATAAAATACTAATTAATTCTAATATTTTTATTCTATTCTTAAAAAATATTATAAATTTATTTTTTGGTAACATATAAATTTAAATTTTTAAAACTATTTAATTATAATTTCATAAATATGAATAAATAATTATTTAATTAATAGATTTTATTTATTAACAAAGTGAAAAATTAATTTCAATTATAGTTTAAGTTAAATAAAAATTTAATTTAAAATATAATAATTATATCATTTAATTCAATGAAATGATATAATTTTAAAGTGGTAATAAAACTTAAATTGAATATTATTTTAGTGGAATATTATAAATTTTCACTCTAGCTTAATGAGATATTATAAAGTTTCAAGTTATTAGGGTTCAAATCCTTTGGGTAAGAGGTCTAAGGTTTGATCCCCCCCAATACATACAATATTGGCTGCTTAAAAGAGAGAAACTAATATAAAAATTAATATATATATATATATATATAAATACTACCATTAAAATTTTTATAGTCGAAGATTAAAATGAAAATTATAATAGCAATAGACTTTTGCAGAAAAAATAACCTAAGATAAAAAAAAGACAATAAGCTGATAAGTATTGATAAAATACTCTTGTAAGTAATGTATCTGTGTGAATTAAATGGAATCAAAAATCTCAAATTATATTTTTAAATGCATGAAAGAAGAGTATGGATTAAAACAAGGGTAAAGCATACAAATGGTCCCTAAACTTTTAGGGCACTTGCATTTTGGTCACTCAACTTTTGAAACTTGTAATACAATCATCAAAATTTTAGTTCGTTTTCAGTAAGGTCCCTTTCGTTACCTCTCGTTATTTTTTGCTGACGTGACACTAACTCTAGTTAGTCCTCTACTTCTTCTATAATTTGTAAACAACAACAAAGGCCAAACCAAGCCTCATAAAGAAACCTTTTTATGCGCCTCAAATAAAGGGAAAAAGAGTTTCATAAAGTTCGTACAGGTGATCTTTACAAAGCATAAGGTTAAAATTGAAACTCAAGACCTTAAAAAGTAGCTTTTCTATTCAAGTCTAGAATTTTTTTTCCTTTTTACTAACAAATATTGGTAGTTTATTAAAATTCCCAAAGAAAAAAATTGCCAAATTAACATCAAGAAGGCATTCCTATGTAAATCTATTGATTCGTAGAAACTGAGAAAGAACAATGTTGAAGTGTTTGAGTTTGAGGGGGGCATTTGATTCGATGACATGGAAAGGATTGGTCTATCCAGTTTTTTACTCAATTTTATCTTAATTTTCAGCTTTTGTTTCTTCAGGCACTCATTTCTACTTTGGGTTAGTCAACTATTTATTTATTTGTGTGTTTTGGGAAGATTCCCATTAATTTGATGTAGATTTGATAATTTGATCTATGGGTTTGTTGGACAAAATTAGTGGGGTTTTGATGTAAATGTGGATTGTATAATTTCATTGATTAACTGAGGTTTATTTTGTATAATTACTTGGATGTGAAGATGGAAACATGGAAAATGTTGATGAGTTATTTGAGAGAATTTCACAGATTATAAAAGTGAATCATTACATTGAGGCACTTAATGATCTTGATGCTGCTATTGAGGCAGATCCAACACTTTCAGAAGCATATTTACGCTGTGCATCTCTTCTGCGCCAGCTATGTCAGTACTGTTGAATAATAGAAAGTTTGGATGTACATATTATGGCTTTTATTTATTTTTTTCCTATGAATTGAAAAGTTATGCTTTTTACTATAAATATGTATTTTGATTTGCAGATGATTAGTTTGAGTTTTGTTGAAGAAGAAGAAGAGGGCTAATAGGAGAGTTAACGGGAGTTAAGTAATACGTCGGCAAAAATTATCCGGAGAAACGGAAGGGATCTTACTGAAAATAAATTAAAAGTTCGATGACTGTATTGCAAGTTTTGATCAAAATGCAAATGCCCTAAAAGTTGAGAAACTATTTATGTACTTTACCCTTAAATAATTATGGATATGGTCAATCATAATTATCTTTTAAGGCCTTGACTCATTCAAATCCGAGGGCTGTTTAAGGAAGCAAAATTCAATTTAGGGTAGCTTTCATTTGTCCCTAAAACTACAATCCTATGAAGAGTATTATTATTTTTTTAATTTGGTAATTAGGCATAGTTGAATCGTCTTCTTCATTCCACAAGTGGCAAAGCAATGGGCATTAACCCACGTAGCCTGGTTTCAAGTATGGTTTGTTTATCAAATCCATTTCTTCAGATTCACGTAAAATGAAGGATGAACAACCCCTCCAATTTCATTTCTGTTAGGTGGAGGAGAAATCCAGGGGTTAGGATTTCCTACAATATCCTTTGATTGCCATAACTTTAGTACATAAACGTTCTGTAATAAGAATTATTGAAATTTGCAAGACAGGTTTATTAAAGCATGTGTGGAGATTATTCCCGCAACACAATAGTGGCGGTGAGTTGGGCTCACCGTCCCACTGTCTTAGGTTTTCTTGTTGGCCTTCGTTTCTTATTATTTTATGATTGCTGGCCGAAACATGACACGTCCACTTTGTTCATTGTTTTAGTAGCAGACATTGATGTTTTCATAGGTCAATAAACACATATTTTTCGATATGATTCATGTACCTTGGAGGATCTCACAGATTCCTTGTGTGTTATAAATTATTATGAGTTCCCTGATTGATCGTATACATTAGGCTTAATAATAAATAACTTAAGAAATATTAGGTTTAATCATAAAAAATAATAAAAAATTATATTCAAACTTATCGATTAATTAAACATGTTAAATTTTTATATAAAAAATCTTAATTTTTTTTCTTTTGATCTTTCAAACTAGCACACAAAATAAGCCCAGCTTTCTGGAATACCATGGAGGAGTTCCATCAAAACAACACACTATCCTTCTTTCGTGTTATGCCTCTTGACTAAGGTTGTTGATATCCGATAATGCAGAAAAAGAAGGAAACCATAGTTCTACACGAGTCCTACCTGCTCCGAGAGCGGCATCGGTGGTCCGGGGTGAAATGACACGGACAACACAGCCATAACTTTCTAGTATTTCACGTGCTACAGTCAGCCCGGCGACAAAATTCCATGTCATGTTGTCTTCAATCATGTTTTCCGAGAAGAGTTCGCCACTAAATGGTGTGAGGGAATGCATCTGTGTCAGCAAATGCATGTAACAGTGGAACAATTCATTTCGGGTGAGCATGCGATAAAGCACAAAACCAAGGAAAATAAATGCCATTGGGCATATCAATTATCGTCTTCTCATAAACCTTTCAGATTTCACAAAGGCATCTTAACGCAGGAACTATAGACCATATGAGATCATCCGAAATAAGGCAACAAATAAACTTAATCTATGACAAGTAGCATGAATCCCACTTATAAATAATCCAAAGAACATGCAAGGAACATGAACTACAGAAGGTACCAAGGAAACAAGAACAGCAAATGCTACTTTATCAGTGAAAATATTTCTCAAAAGTTGCGAACTTTAGTTAAATCTAAATGTTGAAGGGTAAAAGTAAAAAAGAAATGAAGTTTGGTTTAAGGTCGTAAAACCTATTTATTTCTGTTTCAAGCTTTTAGTTTCAATACTATAGAAAAAGGCCCCCCTCAACCTATTACTCTGAAAATCAATTAGCGAACTGTAAATTGCCGTTGTTCTCATATTGAGATGATGAAAAAAAGGCTTACCGTTGACTATTTGCCTATAACATTTAGCAAACTTTGCATTTCCTACATAACTGGAGTGACACTAAGCATTAATGAACAAATAGATTTATTGATGGGGCAGCTAGCAACGGAAACGATATAACAATGGCAACAAAGGCTGTCACAGAGGAAAAGAAGTTCCAACAATACCATGTAGTGCATATCTGGCCCGACATCATCTATTACCAGTAAAGCACCACCTGCTGGTGCACTGGTAGAAACAATTTCAACCTTCCCACCAACCTGGGTACGTAATAATGCACCCTCTATCAAATTGATCAAGGCTTGGCGCAAAGCAGGTTCTTCTATAGCCACTTGCAAAGGCTGTGAAAGTTCACTTAGTTCCACAATGCGTTGCTGCTGATGAGCAAGAGGTTTCGCAGCATCAACTAAATCAGCGAGTACACATCAGAAATATTGCAGGACTTCCTGATAAAAAAGAACGAGTACAATGAAAATAATAATAAAAATACTGCTAAATGAAATCGACAGTAGAAATATATTGCACGTCCAATAAGGGATGTGGCCGGATTGCATTCAATTGAAACACAACCAAGTGATTTATTCTCAAGGCTATTTTAAGTAAAGATTGCAGTTTAGCCTATATTCAGCGTTAGACTACAACATAGGCTACAGTAAAGTTCAGGCTATAAACTGAATAGTCTCCAATAATTATCTTCATAAACAATTTTCTACATGATTTCTAAAATAAAATTTCAACAGTGAATGAGGTGTCTACAACTGTAGTATAATTGATATAATTAAGCACCATTCTAGTTTTCCTTTTTATGAGGTGGTGGACTCGTGTAATTGCTGGAAGGACATTGCATACCTGATCCCTTCCTCTTGTAATTGGCCAAGAGCCAGTGGTGGCATTGGCATCTCTAGATCCTTGCTTGTTATACTTAAAGGTAGTAAACCAGAGGTTTCTGAACTATTGTTGCCTTGTTGGAACTATCCCGAGAAATCATCTGATAATTGAGATATCAGCGACTCGGGCCGGGAATGAGTTGAATTACGCATCTTTTGCAAAGATTCTTCATTGTAGCGCATTATATTAGCCTAAAGAAAAGTCAGATGGGAAAGTTAATAGAAGTTAATATGTTGCATTCTTCATATAAAAAAATATATTACAGAACCCAAATCCATGAGAAGTTTGATAGCAGGCTAGTAGTTCCAAATTGACAACTGTGAATATATACATGAAGGAAAGCAATGACAGTATGCATGCGTGTATCTGTACATGATCTGAGAGTAAAGTTACCTTTGTCAAGTGAACAACATCTTGTAGTTCTGTCACACCCCAAATTAGGGCATAAAATTTTCTTAAATATTTATTCCGAGGACTAAATTGAAAATTTAATTAAATTCAAGGATCATAGTGAAATTTTGATTAAAATTAGATCTAAATTACTAAAGCAACTAAAAATGAATGACCTATAGTGTAATTATACATTTTTAAGGTGGGTTTAAATACCCAAAAATCCATAAATTTCCATTTCTGGAAAGTTTAAACCTCTCTCTCTCTCTCTCTCTCTCTCTCTCTCTCTCTCTCTCTCTCTCTCTCTCTCTCTCTCTCTCTCTCTCTCTCACTCTCTCTCTCTCTCCCTCCCTCCAATCTTTCTTCTTTTAGTAGAAAATCTTTAATCGACGTTTCGTCGTCGACCTTTGTTTTGTTTTGACACCTCCTGCACATCGTGTTCCCCACCTCATCCCGAGTACATCGGCGTCCATCTTGTTTCTGTTGCCGTCGGCGTGTGAGGGGTGAGGAAGATCAAGTTTATGATGTTGTGAAATTGAACTCTTCACCATTCACTACTGTGAACCGAGCTTAATAAGTGTCTCAAAACCCCTTAAAATGCATATAAATTTTTTTTTATAATTTTTCCGACCCTAGAAGGCCCCACACACGCCGCCGCTGCGCGTGGGGAAGGTCTACTGCCTGGTGGGCTTCTAGAAGTTGTCCAACTTGATCCGACCCGCCTGCCCAATTCGACCCTCATGTTCAACCCGACTTGGTCCAACCCGAACCGAACTGGTTAGCTGTTAACTGCCGTTGATTTTTTTTGAAAACCTCCATCTTGACGTTTTTCGACGTCCCGAATCCGATTTTGCAATATGTTTTGCCAAATTCTTACCCAAAAGTCATGAATCGTGCCCGTTAATCCGAAAATGCTTAGTATTTTTAGTATTTTTTCTTATTTATTTGAGGTTTGATTATGAAATTAATTCGAGTATATAATTTTATGAAGATACTCGTGTTTCCCCGATCGAGGTCAATTAGATCCGGTGCTTCTCGTCCATTAGATCCGCTCGATTCGTGTTCTTCGAGAATTACTCGTAGGTAAATTGTTTAAATAGAGGTTAGTATTATTCATATGAGGATTTTGATATAGATTTTTTGATTCGTAAGATCTAGCGCTTCTGTTGATCGTGATCGATAAACTCAGTAGTAAGCTTTCCTATCAGACTACTTAGATTGGTACATGTGTGTTTCCTGATGGTGTTACATTACTATTTTAAACTATTTATCTGAACTATTTTTAGATTTTTTAATGATACTAAATATTTGTACGACATGATACATGACATTTTGAATACTGTTTATTTGATATCTGATTTACACTATATTTTTTTATATGATCTATGATTACTGTATTTTCTGTATATGATTTCTGAGTATAGAATATTTTCATTTTTAATGTATTAAATTACCGTTTTCACTTGAATACATACATGTTTATTACTGTCATTGTGGGTATTATTGGAGTAAGTATATTAGGCCTAGTCTATGACTTGTAAGACCTTACCGCAGACTCCTCTATTTTGTACACATGGTAAGTCCTTACCGCATGTCCTTATACTATATGTATAAGGCCCTTACCGAGTGTACAGGTGGGTGTATGGTTCTGGAGAACCTACACATTCTAGTGTTCGGATGAGGGTAATGTTCGTATTTTTAAAGATGGTTGATGAATTTTTTTACTAAAGTATTTTATCTGTATGTTTTTATACACCGTAAGGATCACATTGGGCTATTTTGCTCAGTTTGTAAATCTTAACTTTTTCAGATAGTAACAGACCGTAGATTAGCATACATGACTTCAGGAGTACAAACTACTCTTATTTTTGTACCGCTATATATCTCTATATGCTTTTAGTTAAAAGAAAGAATTACATTTCCACCATTTAATAAAAAAATTATTGAGAATATTTTTTCTCGCCTGATGAAAATAATGATAAAATATAAAATAATTTTTTTAATATCAATATTTTCTACTAATTAAACACACTTAATTTTGTGGAAGGTTCTTCTCTTTGCCCGGTTCCATCCGGTTTAGGAAACCAGAACAGACCTTGAGTTCAGGGATTTTGTGCCCTGTTCAAATAATCGAACTAATTCGGTTAATCGGCCGAACCGAATTAGTTTGATTAATTTGGTTCGATTATCGAATTAGTTCGATCGGTTAACAGTTAAGAAAATTTTTAGAATTCGGTTCGAAATCGGTTAATTAAACCGAAATTAAATTTTTAATATTAAATATATTATATATAACATATGGACTCAGCCCAAACCATTTAAAACCAATTAATAATTTAATATCCAATAACTTTTAAACATAAATAAATATTAATTAATTAAAAAAATTATATAAAATTTTTATTTTATAATTATATATTATTTAAATTAATTGTAAATTATTTTTTTAATTAAAAATATTAAATATATTACATATAACACATGGGCTCAGCCAAAACCATTTAAAACTCAATTAATAATTTAAGATCTAATAACTTTTAAACCTAAATCAATATTACTCAATTAAAAAATTCGATTAATTAGGTTATGGTTAATTCAGTTCGGTTTTAACTGATTGAACAACCCTAGTGCCCCCATTGTTTACTCGGTTTTTTTTACAATAGGGCAAACAATTTAATTAATTAACCTAATAAGGTATATAAAAGTTTATTTAGGGATCTACGACATTTGTTATTGTGATTTACAACTTACTATGTCGAGGAGACGAGTTTAAAAAAATATTTTATTTAAATTTTTTATCTTGATGTGATAAAATTTTTAAAAATATTTTATTAGAACTCTTCATTTCAACGTGACGAGTTTCTTGAATATTATAACAAATGCGGTAGAACTCAAAAAAAAAAAACTTTTATATATCTTATTGGGTTAATTAATAAAACAAGATACCAAATTGAGCAAAAAAAAAAAAACCATATTTACTAAGCTTTCGAGCTTTGTAAGTCCTTTGGGCCTTTCCTCTGGACCCATGGATGAACTGATGTTGAACAAAATGATTAACTATTTTTTATTTATAAAAATTATCTATATTTAAAATATATTTAAAAAATAAAATTTATTTTAATAATAAAAATATAAAAATATTTTATTAACTTATATAAAGCATATTTTATTAACATTTTTGAATTTATACATATTGAAAATTAGATTAATTTGTGAAGTTAAACCTCTTTTGTTATTTTTACTTAACAATTTGGTTAATTATTTAATTCCATAAAGAGATAAATAAATGAAATAATTGAATAAGAAAACTATTAATTAGAGATAAAAATCCAAATTAAGGCTTAAGCTGAACACTAAACTTCCTGAATCCACAGAAACGGAAGCAGCAGCAGCTGATATTGTAAAAAGAGCTAGGTTCCCCTTCCTAGCTTAATTCCTATAACAAGCCTTATTTAATGGAGTTGGAGGATGTGAAAATGAACCATCAACGATCCGTTCGAATATGAACTTATTAGCCGCTTGAGTGAAATGAACCCCATCCCAGATTACGGCACTCGAAGGATCTTTGCATGGAGCTCCCACCAACACTTCCTTCCCATGTTTATTAATCTTTGATCCACACCCATGTTCCTTGTTGTAGTTGTACTTCCCACCATGGCCGCAGCATGTTCTAAGAGGTTGCTTGAACCCTGCATACCCATTTGTCAATACTGCATTTTCATAGAGTTTTCAGTTGTTGCATAAAGGAGGACTCACCATGCTTTCTTCCTTCGCTAATCAGCGAGTATTTCACCGAGTAAACATCGACATAAGTGATGGCTGCATCGCCCAAATCTCGACGCAACTGCTCCACCGTCTTTTTCAGTCCCCGGTTGAAGAACCGGGCGACGTCGTTGAACGGAGACGCGCATCCGTGTTCATCGATTTGCCCTGCTAAGACCGGGATCCGCTCCATTACGTACGGTAAACACCCTACTGGACCTGTGTTGTGTATCCAAAAGTATCTCCCCCTTGGCTATATATGTACTGTACAGTTGCAAGTTACATAGTAATAATCAATGCTTAATTGTATTCAAACATTTGGTCCAATGATTAATGATCAAGGTTTGATTTACTAGCCTGAATTATATTCTGGAACTGACTAAGCACATCGGGAACAAAGGCTCGAACTTCGTCGGTTGACATGTTTGAGAAGTAGCCGGCGGTGAGATCATTTTGGCCAATGTCGAAGGTGTATAAGGCATTTGAGAAGTGTCCTTCCTTTGGCATTAAGGCTTCATAAACTCCTCCTACAAACATTGATAATAATCAAAACAGTTCACATGTTTTATCCAGAAACAGGTGGCTTTTCAGGCAGAAATGTCCTGAAATATTACCTTGTTTACGAGCTGCTAGTGACCTTCTATGAAAATCATTGAACTCGTAATATTGCACGTCCAACGAGATGGGGCTGAAACCGCTTTGATGCAGAGTTGTGTTTTGAGGTCTTACGGTGGATCCAGCGGTGGCGAAGTTAGCTCCATGGCTAAAGTTGGTCCCCACGGCGTCAAGAAATGCACTTAGATAAGGTAACCCGAGGCTCTCCGCTGAACGTTAAACAAATGTTAACATGCATCGATCACTCGTAAAAGACCTTTATTCTTTGAAATTTTGAGTTGTAGGGAACTATCAGAATGTAATTAGCTGAGACGTAAAAGAGTACCTATGAAGTCGATCACAAGGCGGCCATCGGTATAGCGGCCAGCAGGGCCGCCAAAGAAAGAGAAACCATTAGGAGGAGGAGCTTGACCGAATGCGGCTGACAAGCCTCCGGTGTCGGAGTTAGAGTCACCAAAGTTGAATATTGCAGGAAATTGGCAAGGCTTTTTTGCAAGCACCAGGTCAATAGGTGCAAGGTTCAATAAGGAGAGAGCAAAGATAGTGATGAAAAAAGTGGAAGATGAATCAGAAGACATGGCTGTAAAACAATTGGAAAAAGGAGAGTTAAGTGTGCAACTCAACGATCAACAGAGGTGTCTACTTACAGAAGACAGACTGACCATTAATGAATAATATAGTAAATAAGATTCTGTTTTGAGTAATCCAAACAAATACAAAAATGGGTTAAGATTTTGTCTTATCTGAAATACTCTGCAGATATTTTTGGTGATTTCATAATCTTTTTAGAATTCTCAATTTCGAACAAATAGCATATTAGTTTATATAACAAATATATTATATTTAAATTATTTTAAAAATGATTTTCTTAAGAACACTTGATCATTTAAGATTACGATTTGTTCATTGATTTGCCTTGTTTTGATGACTATGAATGAATCAGCACTTACCAGTAATTTTAATGGGGGAATTTATCATAAACAGGGTGCTCAAAAGAGAAATCATGGCAGGCACGATTGTCTAGGTTGTAATAATACAAGGAAAACAGTCTTAAGCAAAGGTTGATGCTTTTGTTGCGTTTCTCTTTATCAATAGTTTCTATTTTTTTTTGTTATTTTTATCAAATTCTGAAATTTTAAATATATAGAAATTACTCAGCCAGGATAGTTTATTTGTAGCACATGTACTATAACATAGAGAAAAATTAGCACTCATAATTATTTATACAAAATATTTTGCATGTGTTAAAATTGAAATCATGCACTTTAAGGAAATATTGGTAACAGTAAAAATAACAGAAGCCATATTGATAAAACTTAATAGAGAGATTCGTATCAGGGAAAAAAAGCAGTCACTTCTGCTTAGCCTATAGGAGAAAGTCTAAAACTTGCAATAGGTAAAAGACCATCAAAACGACCTAGTTTTGCAGTGCAAACAGTACAAAAGGCCTCGGTCCGCTCCTTCGTGTCAAATGTATCCTCTTCACATCAGTCAGCAAGCTATTGGCGCTTGGAATGAAGAGACATGTGGCAAGCTTTAGTGATGGGAGTTGGAGGGTCTGAAAGCCATCCAACAACAACCTTGTTAGCGATCCACAGATTTGCAGCATGGGAGTAATGGATGCCATCCCAACTTATATAAGCTGAAGGATTGCTGCATGAAGTCGACAAAGTTGCAGTCCCATTCTCAGTATTCTTCCTCCAGCACATTTTATCCCGATAATGCCCGCAGCAATACTCGAGTGGATTTGCATATCCTGCAATAAAGGGTCGGTGTTTCATATAGAACACACACAGTGAATGTGAAGCTATTATCTTTTATAACTTGGTTGTGGAACAAAATGATTTGGCAACTGAGCTTACCATGGTGCTTTCCATCAGAAATCAAAGAATATTTAGCTGAATAAATATCAACATAAGTCAGCGCTGCATCTGGGAATTGCATCCGAAGTTGGATAACACTCTCTTTCAGCTGCCTGTTAAATTCTTGAGCAACCTCATTATGAGAACTTATGCAACCATTTCGATCCACATTTTCAGTTACTGGAGTATAATATAGAACGTGGAAGGGCAGACAACCTATTGGACCTGTGTTGTGTATCCAAAATATCCTTGCTCCGTTTTGATGTAGTCGCTGAAAAGGGAAACAAATGGAAGTTAACCTTAAACATAAATTTTAACATTTCAACTATTTGCATACATTAACCTGATTTGGATAGAGGAGACTTGAAGGGAATTTTTATTATGTCGTTTTTCTTCTTCTTCATTTTTTTTATTATGGTCCATATCCGTTTTATGATCCATGTTCAGGGTTCGTGGCTGTCCCTTCAAGTAATGTCATCTCTAAGTTTCAAACTTATTATATTGTTCTTATTAGCATTGGGAGGATTGTTTCAGCAAAGAGCATTCCAAGTGGAAATAAAGGCAGTCATCAAAACTGGTTGTCTTTCCCTTTATGCAGTTTCAAATTGACAGACTTCATGAACTGAGATATATATGGAGATATGCCAAATCTTTTAAGATTTTTGAAGATACTAAGTTTCCTGGTAAATTATGATTGTTCTCATAGGGTAGGAAAACACGGTCCTCAGTTTTGGCTAATAAGATCTTGAAGATATCAATTCTCAAGCATCATCTCCTTTTTCTTGTCTACCATGGAAATGCAACAATAACAAACAAACAAAGCCCTTAACAGCTCTGCCTAGGGCAATAACAAATGAAAAAGATATATGTTCAAAGCATCAAAGTGTCTAAATATGCTTTAAAGCAAGCTTCATGCTAGGGAAATATCATATAGAAGAATCATAGATAAACGGATTTTACAAAATCACGTCAATCTCCTACAACCGTAAGAAAACCAAGAGAAATATATTGTGTAAGCATAACATCTAGTTACCTTAACAGCCTGAGCAAACTCGTTGATAACTTCAGGAATTGATTCTATAACCTGTTTCTCTGCCATTGACTTGAATGCACAATCAAGATCAATTTGCCCAATATCAAATGTGTAAAGTGCTTGTGAGAAGTCCTCTGGTCTTGGTAGCGTGCTCTTAATGTTGGAACCCACACCTGGAAAGAAAAAGAAGAAATATAAGAAAAAACCATCCGAAAACTTCGAGCATTATTCTAGTTTAGAATTTACAGTTCTTTTGCCCCTAATTCTTGAATTATTTCTAACCTTCTTTATAAAGCTCATTTACTCGCTCTTTGAACTGTTCAAATTGCGCAAGTTGTATGTCAAGAGAAATGGGGCTATACCCCATCTTAACATTCTCGCATCCAGTGGCTGAATTGTAGACCCTCCCGTAGCAAAATTAGCTCCATGCCGGAAGTTTGTACTGATAGAGTCCAGATAAGCACTCAAATATGGCAGTCCCAAATTCTCAGCTGCAGGGTACAATAACCGAGTTTAGTACAAGAGAGAAACAAAATGCATTCTTATGATTTTACCACCAAGCAGATCAACATTCAGTCTGTAAACTTGATCAAACGGACCCTTTAAGTGATTAGTTCAAAGTTCATCCCAAACACAAGATTGTCTTTAGGAACCGAGTAATCAAAATTGATCTTATAAAGTAGAGATCTTAAACTACTCAGCAGTCAGTAGATCACTTATAGAACAGGATTAACATGAAATGTTCCACTACATGCAAAGTTGACTCATAGTATGGAGGAAATTTCACCTTAACCCTAAAACATAACCATAATTGAAACTTAAGAAATGAAAAAAAATCCCAACTTTAAGCTTAACCTCGATGTATTGAATCATTGAAAGTCCCAAGTTCTAACCTTTCGGGGATAGAAGTGAAAAGCCAGTGAACTAAAAATAAAACAAATGATCCGCCGCAAACAGATAAGTCTTTCATAAGATGCATCCAAAAGAACATACAAGTTCATGAATATCCAAGGAATGAAAAGAAGAAAGAAAAGACTCACAGACCAATGAAATCGATAATCAGTTTGCCATTGCAATATCTCCCAGATGGCTTTTGGAAGAAAGTATTTCCATTGGGCAAAGGAATCCGGTGGAACGCAGCGGACTATCCACCCGTGTCAGAATTGGAATCACCGAAGTTGAATACGGCAGGAAAATAACAACTCCCGGCTTGGCCAAGATCCCTTTGCCTTCCACTGAGCAAGAAAAGAGAGAATGCTACGGCAAAGAAGGCTGCTATCGTGAAAGTTTTAATGCTGTTTTTCGAAGCCCAAGCAGTATTCCATCTCCCACTGATACCAGTACCAACATTGGGTCTAGTCACTTCCATGCTAATTCTCTTCCGGGACTTTTATCAAACAGGTTGATGATTAACGCTTAGCGGTCAACGTGTGCCGTCCTCTACGTAAAACCATAAGGTAAGCTCACATCTTAGATCAATAGTATAATAGTAATGAGATCCGACAAGGGTGCGTTCTCCTGATTCGTAACGGGTGCAATGTCGCTGTCTTCACCCAATCAACTTCAAGTTCAACGATTACTCCGAACGACCGCCACTATTAATTAAAGGGTAAACTACACCCATGACCACTTAATTATGGGTATATTTTAATTTGACTACTTATCTTTCAATTTTATCTATCAACTACTTAACTATTTAAATAGTATCAATCAAGTCACTAACCGCTAACATTTAACAGGGAATTAAAAGATAGGTAGCTTAATTGATATCATTTCAATAATTGTGTGTTTGATTGATCAAATTAAAAGAATAATGGACAAATTAGAACACATCCATAATTAAGTGGCCATACTCGTAGTTTACCCTTAATTGAAATACATAGATTGGGATTGGAAAACAGTTCTCTTTTCCCTCATTGGGAAAACGGAAACAAATGCGATCCTTTAAGTTGCTCGAATGCTGCCGAAAACAAGCACGACCTAAAATTTTATGTTGGAATGAATAAATTTATAAAATTAAAAAAAATGAAAATTTTGGTTCATCCCTAAAAAGAATTATGGATTTAAGAACAATATTCTTAGATTTGCTGTTACGCATAGAGCATTAAAAAGTGCTCTTAAGTTGCTTGAATTTCGTTTTATCATTATTAATTGAAACTTGAAGTATTGAGTATAACATAAATAATGGAATTCAAGATCCTTCTTCTATCAAGAGCTTAATCCATGTTTTGAAAATCGGATCAGACCGTCCGGTTCAACCGAGAACAGCTGTGCTACTAGTGAACCGCAAGGAATCGCTGAACTGACTGTGAACCATTCGAACCGGACCGGAACCGCTAAGAATCGGCCATCAATAAAAAATTAAAAAAGTTAAAATTTTTATTTTTGAAGGTTAATCAACTTTTGTTTTGGTTTTAATGTGTAATGTTTGAAGATTTTTATTAGAAGTAAATCAAGTAATGAATGATGGAATTTTGGTGTTGTATTTAAGTATTATAATTGTGGGGATGTTTTTAGTTTTTTATTAAATGTTTTTGGTATTTTTATTTAGTTTTTTAAATAATTATGACGTTATCCGATTCTTTCGATTGGTCTGACCGGTTCGACTGATTGAACCAGTAGCACGACCGATTCGCTGAACGGTCCGGTTTTGAAAACCATGAGCTTAATTGAGCTCAATATC